GAAGGAAGTTCAAAAACCGAGATTAAATCGTTTACGTCTGGAGCTTCGTTTCTCGAACCGAGCAGCAAATTACTGGAACTCTTTACCAGAACACGTTATATCAGCACCATCTGTTAATATATTCAAAACGAGATTGGTGTTAAGGGAGGACTGTAGACATTTGACTGATTAAAATCTCTTCATTGTATATTAATAATTTTATTGTGTTTTTGGGTGTATTTGTTTTACTTAACTTTTGAACTTGTTTGTTTATATCATTATTTTTGGACAGTTTGGTTTCTCTTTGTCATTGGTTTGGTATTTGGGAGCTTTTGCTCCGGGAACCTACAAAATTGAAGGTTTGTTTTGTAATTGTTATAATTACTGTTGTTAGAACTACATTTAGGTCGACTAATTGTAACTTGCGAATAAACTTTGGTATCTAAATTGGAGTTTGGTTCTATTGTTAATTTGGGTTTGTACATTGCAAATAGACCGATATACCGTAATTCAATAACGGGAACGAGCAAAATCTTGGATGTGACATAAACTTCTTCAATTATTGGTTCTGTGTTATTGGTTCTGCAATCCAATGACCTTTCCACCTTAGCATTTATCTCACATTTGTCTACGGGCAGTTGGTTGTCGTGCTCCATGATCTTACATTCTAATTCAGCCATATCAACCTGTTCTTGGATATATAACAACTTAAGCTGCCGTTCTAACTCAAGTCTCCTTTATAAATTCTTCTTCCTTAGTAATGCCTTACCTAACCTTAATCTAGAAGTACTAAGCTGACCAGAGGACATACTATTAATACTAAGATCATCACATTTATCATCATTAACATCAGACATACCAGAAACAGCTTTAGAAATTTTACCATCCATTTCGTCATTTTCCTTCGGCCTTTTGCTTCGCGTTTCCATCGTATTCCTTGTTCCAAAAAATCGGTTACCGAAACAATTCTGAATTATTCCAAACGAAATCGACCAATAGGACCAGGAAATTGGACCCAAAATGCTCAGACGAATCCAAGGTACCAACACAGAACCAATAATTGAAGAAGTTTATGTCACATCCAAGATTTTGCTCGTTCCCGTTATTGAATTACGGTATATCGGTCTATTTGCAATGTACAAACCCAAATTAACAATAGAACCAAACTCCAATTTAGATACCAAAGTTTATTCGCAAGTTACAATTAGTCGACCTAAATGTAGTTCTAACAACAGTAATTATAACAATTACAAAACAAACCTTCAATTTTGTAGGTTCCCGGAGCAAAAGCTCCCAAATACCAAACCAATGACAAAGAGAAACCAAACTGTCCAAAAATAATGATATAAACAAACAAGTTCAAAAGTTAAGTAAAACAAATACACCCAAAAACACAATAAAATTATTAATATACAATGAAGAGATTTTAATCAGTCAAATGTCTACAGTCCTCCCTTAACACCAATCTCGTTTTGAATATATTAACAGATGGTGCTGATATGACGTGTTCCGGTAGAAGGTTCCAGCCGCCAATGAGCTAAGATTATCCTGTAATACTATTCTATCCGACACACTGTGTATGGGTCTCTAAATTTTTATCTCATCAGCGAAGAGTAGATTAGATGGTTTTGCTACAGTTGGTAATTCATTTGCATAAAGTAAAAAGAGAAGAGGACCGAGGATTGTACCTTGGGGAACTCAACTTTTTACAGGTGCCCACGAGGAGAGAGCTCCATTAACCCTTCCCCTTTGTCTCCTGTCATGGAGAAAGTTACTTATCCAATCTACGACTGTCTAATGGATTCCAAAACGTCCCAGTTTGAATTTAAGACCAGAATGGGAGACCTTATCAAAGGCCTTACTTTGATCTATGAAGATCACATCCACATGAATATTCCTATCTTTTGCAGCAGCCCAAACTTCTCTTGCAATGAGAAGATTTGTCAGGCATGATAGGCCTCTCCGAAAACCATATTGTTCCCTGGGGAGAAGATTATGCCCTTCAACATAGTTTATAACAGATATTCGAATGACTTTTTCCATCAGTTTTACAACCGCACTAGTTAAGCTAACGGGTCTAAAGTTACTGATTAAATCCCTACTCCCAACCTTATACAGCGAACTTATTATAGTGTCTTTCCAGTCTCTTGGCAGTCTGGACTGCCTCAGAGACATGGCAAACAGTATCGTTAATGGTTCAGCAATTACATCTGATATGGCTTTCATAATCCTAGGATGAATATAATCAGGACCACTGGACTTATTGGATTTGAGATGCTGAAGTAGCCTTAAGACAGTACCTTTCTCAATGACTACAGGGTCCATCAGCGAGCTGCCACGACCACAATGAATCGTTAGTCGTTCTTCATTACTGATAGAAAACACTTTACTGAAATATTCCGATAAAGCTTCAGCTTTCTCGGTATCATTTCTTGCCAAGATTAACGGATATTATTGTATCAAAAGTGATGGAATTCCATCGCTTCTCTGAGTTCGCCTTTTTATGTACGAGAATAACCGTTTTGGACTATATCTAGGATCCCTAATCAATTGTTTTTTCATATGATCGTCTAGTCTTACTTATTAACGCTTTACAAGCATTCCTAATCTTACAATAACTGGATCTGTATTGTTCTAAGCCAGTAGAGATGAACATATTCCAGTGCTTCTTCCTTTTTCTAAGGAGCTTCCTGACTATTATAGTTATCCGTGGTGGACTGTTATTCGGTCTTCGCGGTACCAAGTATGTTATGAATGAGGACGTAACTAAACTAAACTTACCTTTAAATACAGACCATGCTTCTTCGACTGTCTTAGCAGCGCATTCCTGAATGGCTGATATGTTAGCTTCCCATACATTTGTGCGGGGTGTAACCTGATCGTATAACATGTCCCTAGTTCTAAACGTGAATGACAAAACAGCGTGATCGCTGTTCACTAACGGTGGAAGAGTATTTAGGTCGACAATATCCTCAGTCTCATGAGTGATTACCAAGTCCAACAGAGAACCTTGGTTAGCACCAAAACGTGTGGGTTTGGATACATGCTGCACTAGTGCATGCTACATTATTGTTATCAGGAACCTGCTATCAAAGTAGTTTATAGATCCTTCCGTGATCATCCCAGTTCAATTAATATCAGGTGCATTAAAGTCTCCTATTATCAAGAATCTGTTATTTGCACTCCATAGCTGAATGTGCTCTAAAATAAAGTCATCAGCTAAGCAGATTGGGCTGCGATAGATGACACCGAGCATAAATGTACCACATACGATAGCCAATTTACAGCTAATGACTTTACAAGTACCGCTATCATGGGATTCGCTAGCAGAGGAGCGGATATTTATATTATTGGCTATATATATAAAAGGACGCCACCTCCCTTTCTACATCTATGTCTATCACTACTTAGGTAATCGTATCCGGATAATTCTGGAGTAATGTCTAAGTCCTGGACTAACCAAGTTTCTGTCACTGTTACAATGAGTGGCCTTAATTTGTCCACTAATGCTTCTAGTTCATAGAACTTATTTCTTAGACTATGAGCGTTGGCATATAAAACTCCTAGATAGAACATCCTATCCATACAGGCCTTGGTAGCATTCCCTTCCAAGACCTGACTATCCGAAAACCCACTAACCGGAGATTTTCCTCACCGTTTTGTCGACGGGTTTCTAGTTCAGCTAGTGCTTTCTTCCTTTTTATTCTATATTCAAGAGACATATCAGGTCTAACTCGGATGTCGGAATTGTCGTGACTACGATCACGTTGCTTCTCCGACCCTGGGATTACCTTAAGGAGTCTTCATGGTCGGAGTTCAGCATTGTCCTTGGTCCTCTTGCTTATTCTAACCAGTTTTTTGACATGAACTCCTTTAGAGTTATCTGCCAATATACTACGAATATATTCTCCCAGCTTCTCTAAATCATGCGCGTGTCTAATTTTGGGATCAGGGTCGTTTGACTCCAGCAATCTTCTCACAATAATATGCTATGAGATTAGATTCTCCTTCTCAGTCATCACGCCAGGGTGGGTTTCCCTCCTACTATCATACTTTGGTAGTGAATTTTGTGAATCACAATGGGAGTCCACCAATGACTTGCTAACCAGCTGCGTACTGCCTACAGCTTTTTCCTTTTTGTTTCGTTTTCTCCGTACTGTAGTTCATTTTTCATCCCTCGGGACACTGGAACTATTTGGAGTGGTGACGGTTTTATCCAGATCTTCAGTTTTCACTAGAGGTGCATGATTACCAATGTCAGGTGGTACTACATCCCTCCTTAATGTTAACGGAGATTTCGCTTCTCCGTCAGTCAAATTCGGGAGTTCGAGGCATCTCTTAACAGCAGGTACTACACTGACACATTCGTCACTGTCAGTGCTTGTGTTATCAGCGCATGCGCCATCGTTCTTCTTACAGGCCAAAGCCAATAGCTTCATAGCCTCCTGTATTAGTAACGTTTTATTTGCACAGCAAAACATGCAAAGCCAATGTGAGTTAGACTTCGAACATCTTTTGTATGCGGTGGGACTTGAACGGGTGCACATTTTATGGAACCACTTTTTGCGTTCACCGCACTGCATTCATTCCTCCACAGGGAACAAACAGTTTGTCTGTCCATATTTGTGAGTACTACCAACCATTTTAGTCAAATTAAGGTGTAAAACACAATATGATCACGGTATGAACACATGTCAGTCAGTGAGTAAAAGGGTACCACAAGACAAACTTAAGCAAGATTTTAAACCTTAACTAAAGCACTTTGATGTAGACCAAGAATGCTTTTGATGCGGCAACTACACAAAAGCAAGGATAATCACAACAAGTACAAATTCACTGCCCTTTTGAAACGCGCACGAAGCCAATTACTTTTTTTCCTTTATTATAGGTAACATACCTAGGTTTCTGCCTGGAGATATTGATGTTCCACAGCTACTATATACGGAGGCTCGTTAAGTGGAAGGTTCTTCTATTACGTCCACAATCATTTGACCTATTTGAAGATTTTAGGTACTAATGTTGCCAAATTCGAATTTGGCGTTGCTCAGTAACTTCCGGAAATAGCTAACTATGGATTTCTTCAAACGTTCCAAGTTTGACAAGCTGATTGGTAAGTGATACTGTTAATAAAATGAAGATTATTGAATTTATAGAGAAGGCGACCAGTGAAATGCTGATTGAATCTGACATTGAGAGTACCATTGCAGTTTGCGATAACGTGCGTAGTCAAGAGATTTCGTAGGTTAATACTTCACGTAATTACAAACTAATGAAGGCCTAAATATGCGGTCCAGTGTTTAAAGAAACGTCTTCAGTGTGACAACCCAAACGTCGTTCTACACTCATTTGATGTAATCTCTTTCTCATAAACTTACACTGTAGGTGCTGGAGTCATTAATGAAGAACTGTGGTACACCTGTTCATGAAGAAGTTTGCAGCACTGACTTTATGCAGCAGCTTGTTGGGATGGTTGATGTATGTTATTTGATAGACTTTGACGCTTTTTAGACATCCCCAGACGTTCGTGCAAAGCTTCTAGAGTGTCTTCAAAATTGGGCGTATGTTTTTCGTGATAAGCCTGGCTACGTTGCTGTGATAGATGCTTATGAGAACCTTAAAAAAGCTGGCTACGTTTTTCCGGAGTTCTCAGAGAGTGCTGCTATGTTCAGTGTAGTTTGTGCTCCAAGTTGGAAGGAAGGAAATGCATGCCATCGATGCAAGTCCGCATTTACTACGTTCAGGCGTAAGGTAAGGGTTTATTCTATTTTTACTAAAAGCTTAAAGTTTTATATCAATGTGTTGTCACAGTAATACTCCAGTCTCCATTAACTTGATCTGATTGGTTGGTATAAAAGTTTTTTATCATGCGTAACTGGAAGTGCATATAAATATAGCTTGTTTACCAGTAAACTACATCTTATGTAGTATTCTTATATCTTATCGGTAAAATGACTGTTTTTATTGAGTTATACGCCATTATTGGTCGGTGTAGAGGAACTTATTGAAGTCCGATGACTGACTCAAACAGGTACTTTCCGTGGCGCTAACTGCAAGGTAAAAAAAGATATCTACATATCTTTATCGACTATTTCGATTATCAAGTCACTTGATTGAAACATGCTTTTCAATTAAATGGCATATTTTTCGGTTTTTAAGTCAACTTTGTGCACTTGTGAGGAGCGTTTGTATGCTGACTCAGTTTCCTATATAAACCTTTGGGTTCGAAATATCCGTAACTATGCATATGCTTGACGTAAAATCCAATATTGTCCAAGACATATTTTCATAACCAAGTGAGAGGTTTCATACATTGTGCTTGTGGATGCCAATAAACTAAAATGTTACATAACAGTGCGCGACCACCTATTATTTTCAGTGGATAACTGCCTCACACCAAATACGGCTAAACTCCACAGGTGAGGAGTAGTAAGGGACGACAAAAACCAACGGACAGTCCAAAGCTTACTGTTCATTAGTGCTAGCTATCGTCTGTTTTAGTATGGTAACTAGAATAACTTGGACTAATTATTTCTAATAGCACCATAGGTCGGTGATATATTATCAAATAAAATTTGGTTTGACAGCCTTCAAGGACCATCATTATTTATCAAACATTTCCAATCAAATCGATTGTATCATGCAGTCTGTCGTACAAACCAGTAGCAGTTTCTTCGAAATTTTTTTAATGCTAGAAAGTAGAAAATCCTACTGTAATCGCTACAGTGAACTTAACGTGGAAAGCTTATTTCATTATGCCAGAATCAAGTTAGAGATGAGCGAATTTGGGGGACGCAGTCGTAACACGAATATTGTAGATGTACTATACATCCTTACTTACTTACGCCTGTTACAACCATTGAGCATAGGTCGCCGACCAACATTCTTCAACCCATTCTGTCCTGGGCCTTTCTATTTCTGCCCAATTTTTGTTCATTCTTATGTCTGTCTCCGTTTCTCGGTCTTCCTCTTATTCTTTGGCCCTGAGGATCCCAGGCGAGAGCTTGCCTTATGACGCGGTTGGCTGCTTTCCTCAATGTGTGTCCTATTCACTTCCAGCGCTTTTTCCTGATTACTTCTCCCGCTGGAATCTGGTTTGTTCCCTTCCTCAGTAAGTTGTTGCTGATAGTGTCTGGCCAACGGATCCGAAGTATTTTTCGTAGACAACTGTTAATAAACCCTTGTATCTTCTGGTTGATGGCTTCTGTAGTTCTCCAGGTTCTCCAGTAGAACAGTCTTGAAATTTGTATTGAAAATTCTGACCTTGGTGTTGGTTGACAGTTGCTTTGAGTTCCAGATGTTCCTCAGTTGTAAATATGCTGCTCTTGCTTTGCCGATCCGCGCCTTCACATCTGCATCAGATCCACCCTGTTCATCAATGATGCTGCCCAAATATGTAGAGGTTTTAACATCTTCCAAATCTTCTCCGTCAATTGTGATTCGATTGGTGCATGTTGTGTTTTATCGAAGAATCTTGCTTTCCCCTTTGTATATGTGGGGACCTACTGCTGCTGAGGCTGCTGCTACACTGGTCATCTCCTGCACTTGTTGCGTGTGCGATAGAAGAGCCAGATCATCTGCGAAGTCTAGATCGTCTAGCCGCATCTCAGCTGTAGACTGTATCCCGTGCTTCCTCCCAGATGTTGACGTCTTCATAATCCAGGGTGAGAGTAATCAACTTTGCCTGACACAGTTTAACCCATCATAGGAATTCCGTATGATATTGACAATCTTCTGAGGCACGCCGTAGTGTCGAAGAAGCTTCCATAGTGTTGTCATGCCTACGCTATTAAATGCTTTCTTCTAGTCAATGGAATTGATGTAGAGTGATGAATTCCATTCAATTGATTGTTCCACAATCATCCGTAGAGTTGCGATTTGGTTTGTACACGATCTATCCTTACGGAACCCTGCCTGTTGGTCACGAAGTTGGGCGTCTACGCAGTCCTTCATCCTGTTTAACAATACCCTGTTGAAGATTTTTCCCGGTATTGAGAGAAGAGTGATGCATCTGTAGTTCTCACACTTAGTAAGATCGCCTTTCTTTGGTATCTTGATCAGGTGTCCTTCTTTCCAGGCTGCTGGTACTTGTTCTTCATCCCAAATCTTGCTGAAGAGAATATGGAGCATGTTTGCAGTTACTGCTACATTTGCTTCCAGTGCCTCTACTGGAATGTTGTCTGGTCTTGCTGCTTTGCCGCTGTGGTCGAATCACCGCCTATAGTCAACTCTTTTCTAAACTGGTTATATCAAGCGGTGTTAGTCAAGGAAAACCACTCATCATTTTTGTGTGCCTTTATCATAAGGATCAGTCAGTCAGTAACAACGTAGAACTTCGTATGTACGTACATCAGTTCGAGTTGCCACACCTTTTAGGGATAACTCTTTCTTCGTTTGACTTCCCAAATATAAGTCTCCTACTAGGTGATTCATTCATCAACTTGAAACACGCAAACGACATAGTCCTATATCCTTGAGTTCCTCATCCTATAAGCGCTTTCCGCGCTTCCTCGTTGAGCATCAGTGCAACATCTTGTTTGCATGAGGCTATTTCTTCTGCATAACTAGAACACAACACAAGCTCTCTCGAAGCTGACTTTTTTTGTTTACTTTGAGTCCAATGGGTATCACTAATTCTAAGCACTACCAGTTTGTATTCTCTTATTTCCACAGCTTTTTGAGTGGTCCTCACATTGTCCGAATATTGCATGTATCTATAATAATTGTTACTCTGGTTCTCCGATTTCCGGAGAATCTGGACTTTCAATATGAGGTGTTATAACCTGTCAAAATAAATACCCTTCAAAACCTGGGGAGGAAGTTTAAATTTTTCAAGTCTTTTTTATGATAGTCGTTTTTTCAGCAAGGTTGTTTTCTACGGGATGAGGTTGCTTACTTCATGCTTAACCCTCGTTCTTTATTCGGCTTTGGTATGAGCAGTAATCCTGAAGGGCTGCAGACATAGCTATCATGGGATAAGTTCCTCTCCCACGAAATGTTAGTTGTAGCCCCACAACTTGTCTGTATCATTGCCTAGTTTAAACAGAGATAGTGAATTAGATCACATCCACTACCTCGCTTATCTTGGAAGTGTCATTAGCCATATTAGGTTGATGGCTAACGATATCTCGACACGAAAACATAAAGCTCCCATCCAGTGATGAAAGTCTACTAGCCTCTATTGTTTAACCATAATTCTCCGGGAAGCATACCTTGTGTAATCCTGAGGTTTGGCGTAATGTACTAGATTACGATAAAAAATTGGCTGATAAGACTAAAAACTTTCATCGCTTCACTTTATGTTTGTTTTACTAATTTAGTCAAGTTTTTTTGTAATATCTAAATATCAATAACAATACAAACACATACATTAAAGCGTAAGAATCTGAATTACACATTATGTTGATCACTTGAGCTTGATTCTAAAATGTCTAGATAACTGGGTGTCAATAAAAGCATAATTCATTGTGATATTCGTGCCGAAAAAATTACAGACTTACTACAGATTGGTTCATAAGTTTCAGATCTACGATTTTAAATGGTAGTTATGGTCTTATATATTGAATCCTTCACTTATATTTGCTTTTGGCTCAGAAAATTGTCAGTTTAGAGTCATTTTTACAGTAGTTGATTTAATAAACTCGATACCTTACCGGTAGCTTAATTGTTAAGTTGTTATACGTCCATCTACTAGGTCTCGAGTTTGAACGCCGATCAATCTACTTCCATTCGGGAAGCTGGATATTCTCAAATCTGACAAATCCATTTTCCTTGTAGATCCCTCATGGTAATTTTAGTTAATATGTCCCCTTTTGTACTTTTTCATGTTATGTTTTCATCTTAGTAATCTTTTTCAAACACACGTTACCTTAATTTTCTCCAGCATCACTGTCGTAAGTGTGGTCAAGTGTTTTGTGGTGAGTGTACCTCATCGCGCGCCATTCTGCCTGAATTCGGCATTGAGAAGGAAGTGCGTGTTTGTGATTTGTGCTTTGAATCAGTTAACAGGTAATTGCCCATAAACATGTCATTCTGTAGACATTATGATTTTATTTATTATATCGATTAATGGTCGTTGACAGTAACGCGTTCCTGTGTATTTATATATTCACTTGAGTTGCAGTAATATTTGCCAAAACTGCTGAAGCGAATGGTGAATTTACTTTCAGTTTCCTTACTACGATATACGATATAATAATCTTCCTTGCTTTTTCTGCTTATATCGACCTGTAGGAATAATAAACGTTGTATATACTGTTTTCCAAAGGGTCATCCGTCTTTAAAACACATCTCTGCAACATATACGAAAGTTGCGTTTATAAGTAACAAAACCATTCAGCGGTAGAAGTCAGTCAGCTACAACGTAGGACCGAATTTACAACCACAATTGGTGTCCGGCAAGGTTGTCCACTATCTCCATTTCTGTTTAGTTTCATCATAAACCTACTGCTGGAAATAACGTTCTCTTCCAATGAATTATCAGAAGTTGATCTCCTACCAGAAGGTACACTTATTGCCTAAGAATACGCCGATGACATGATCCTGTTTTGTGAAGACGCTGATAAAATGCAGTCTTCTGGTAGAAATAAGCAAAATACCAGGATGTTTGGGATGCGTTTCTCTCCCTCTAAGTAGGAATTGTTGCTTCAGGACTGGCCCGCGTCACCACTTGATTTAAGGAGAGGGAGTGAAGTAGTCGAACGCGTCGACAGTTTCACATATATTATCTTAGAGTCCGATCAGACCTAATGGATTGATGTTTGACGAAATCTCTGCACGAATCCAAAATGCTGGTGTACCTTTTGCCAACTTACGTCACCTATGGCGAAAGGAAGATATCCATCTATCAATCAAGGTACGAGTATACTGCGCGGCAGTTCGTTCTGTTCTACTTTATGGCTGCGAAACTTGGCCATTAAGAGTAAAAGATACTCGTAAGTTACTAGTATTTGATCACAGATGTCTTAGAAATATTGTTCGCGTCTGCTGGGATCATCGGGTAAGTGATAGTGAGGTTAGACGCAAGGTGTTAGGGAATGATGGTAAGTCAGTTGATGAGGTTGTGAATCTTCATCAACTGAGATGGTTGGATCAAGTATTGCGCATACCCAACAACCGATTACCATGACGCATAATGCTGACTAGTGTTGGCGACGGATGGAAGTTAGGGGCAGCCAAACCAAAATGTGGTTGTTGTAACGGGTGGACTGAAGGTTTTGATAAGCAGCGTTTTATTGATCGCTTCAGTGACACATAAACACGTAAGGACGACCTAGGGTTCTGATTGGCCCTGCTTCCCTGTCTAACCCAGCCAGTTGAGTCTAGAACACAAGTCACAGCCTCTGAGTTATGAATCATTGTATTTCAGATATACTCTATTTATATACCAAACAAACAAACCACATCGTACCATAAAATAGAAAACAACATTTACACAATATTAAACAAGTGAAATAAACATCGACCAATAGAAAATGTACATTTAAGGTCCAAGGCCACCATAGACTTAACACGATACTTATTGGTATATTTTTCCGACTATCCTAACAGTGGTATCAGTCCATAAAGTCACTAAATTCTTGTCTAAGTCATGTTGGTAGATGCAGACTACTTGGTTGAGATCCGCATGACTATCGTAACCAATGGTTGGAGACTGTGGGTGACATGGCTCAGAATCGATCACAATGGCATAGGTGTATGCACTCTTTGTCTTTCCTTAAACCGTGCGTTCGAAATTGCTTTATACCTTTCTTTCTACCAACTAATTCTTTCTTCCTGTATTATATCCTTATACGCAATCTTTCTTTTATACATTACTACGATTGAAGTTACTACTTCTATGAATTCAGTGTTCATCTTGTTGTGCTAATTAGGTGTGGTAACTTGGAGTGATTCATATATGTGCCTGGTCCTACGTTCTAGATGACTGACTAACAAGTTATTATTACTATTACTGTCGGTAGTATCGCTAGTAGCATATGCTGACATTTATATTTTTGCAATGTATTTTAACAATATTTTCGTTGTTGTTTCTGTTTTGTAAGAGGATTGTCTTCTGCTTCAAATAACTCTGAAGATAAAAGGTCTGTGGAGAGGGAGAATCAGGTAATCTTTTTTCATTTAAGATTAGCGATTGCGTGTTTTTGAATATTTTTTGCACTTGAATCTCAAGTGTTGGTATTCCAAGTTCAGTCCTAGCTAATCCGGTTTTTGCACCTACACAGTCATTAGCACTACATTTTCTACGACTTGTTTTTTGTCAAGTAGGATAGACTGTAAATTGAAGTCGGGTCCTGAGCGTCACTTAATAATGAAGAGATCCTTCTACAAACTTTATTTAAGTAACAGCTGATCCCTACTTTTGTGGTTTGGATTCCCATATTTATGTCTACAAATGTTTGTTTGTTGGCAGATCAGTTGATTATCAAACAGCATTTCAAAGTCTTTACATATGTTGGCGTAATGGTATTTTTTTCTTTTTGTCACTCAGAAATAGTACATGATACTGTTTAAATAAACATGAAGTGTCCCATTCAACTAACCCTGTCTTAAAAGTCTCACATAATAATATAGGCAACGATTGAAGTGTAAGAAAAAGATACAGCGAAACATACTTTCTTTACCTTGACAATCACTCTATCTTTTCTATTACCTTTAGGTAGATACTTTCATCAATTAAAATCTATTTTCGTCATTGATTATTTCCAGAGATTTTCTGTGGCTTGATTTTTTAATTGAAATGCTTACTATATTTGTGTTATGATTTAAACATCATAATAACAATCTATCTTGGAAATATGTCGGTCTTTTGTACCTTCCTATATACGGAAAGTATTGGGGTCATAATAATCATCAATAATTTTAATAGTCAGTTGTAATAAGATGTGATGATAGCAACGTATTTCTTTCAGCTAACCAGTTTTCTTGAAAATGCTACTTTCACCTAATGAGATAAGCTTATAAATATCAGGATTTATAGTTCATTTTCACTCCTGATTCATAGTTTTTAGTTTCTGGCAATTAGGTTCAGACAAATCCTTTCGACTTGTAACACTTACAGAAGTTGTAGGTGACTGCTTTGTTCTTATATACTACTTAAAATTGTGTTAAATTAATTCGGTTATTTATTTACTTTGAAGAAGTGACTTGCATTAAGTCATGAAACGCAACTCGAACTGACGTACGTACGTACGAAGTTCTACGTTGTTACTGACTGACTGACATGAAACGCCAGAAATTCAAATTTATCTTTATTAGAATATCACGAAAATATAATTATTTCATCATTTTTAACTTTCTGCCCAATGCTCAATCTATTAGAAACTATCAACAAAATCTTTAGTATTGGTACCTAGTAACACATTTCTTGAGATATTTTCGAATTTCATGTTGTGCAAAGTTTTCTATTGAAAAGGATTGGTTACCTTTTTGTCATCAGTGCCATGATTCCTTCTAATTATAATCGACTTTTTTCCCCATTACTTCTCCTTTGAAGATATTTTCGCCTGTATACTTTCATAATTTCAACTCACGAATAATATCCTTGGTTTCAGTAAATTAAGCTTTCAACTAAATGTTATTCACTTCAACAGGTAATACAACATACACTGATAGTCATAACTGAAATTCTAGGCAAGGGTTCCACACTGTTTTCAGGACATTAATACAAGATATTGGTGTATGTAATAATTTAACCTCATGTAACCGTTGTTTTGATGACTTGTCTTTTATAAGGATTGACCTTATTCCAGAGCTACCAAATACGAATTCCTCTACTGAATCACGCTAATAGTTGTTTTGGTTCTGTACGAACTTCAGTTAACTGTATTTTTTGTCTTCTCCGACACATCCACTTGTTGATGGAGTTCAGATCAGATTGAGCATAAGTCCTGTGGAGATGCCATCATGCTCGTTGTAATAAATAATATTCTACATGATAATAATCAGTAACTTTACTAAACGTAGTAGCAAAAAGACACCAGTGATATCTTTTCTAAGATTCCACACAAATAGTTATATGTATGCAGTTAAAATCAGCTGGATAAATGACATTTTTAAAAACTTAGTTATTATCTCTTAGACTAAACTATTACGGGTGGTAAATTACACCACAATCATACCAATTAGGAAGATCATTGACTTAGATATCAACAACACGTTGGCTCGAGATTCCTGTTAAATGTTCTCACATAGTTAATCCGAGGGCGGAGGTGTACAGATTCCTTATTGTAACCTCATTAGTAGTAAAATAAAAACGGTAACCAGGTGATTGTCAGAAATAGTATTGTGATATCATATACAATATATCAAAAGAAAGTCAATGGAATAGTGAATCTTGGTAGATTTGAATATCTCTGTCCGATTTAGTTAAGGTGGATTGTTTGCATTCTATCTATCCGTTTACCCTCGGGCCGATATGTCCCAGATTAAAAATTCCCACTTACAAAAGTTTGGAATTTTAAAGTTTCAGTAGTTTTTACACAAGAATTGTAATCCATACCTTAGTACTCTAACATGTATGTTGTTCAAACGGTCCATAAGAACTCGTCTTGATTGGCTAGTAAAAAAATACAACTAGCGGATTAAATCGAATCTCAAATTTACTCCTTTCAAGTTACTGTAAAACTAAATGCAAGTGCGATGGAATTATCAACCATAAAAAAATCGATATTTGTCCCGACTTATTAAGAAGACCGAGACATAAGGGACTACTTAACAGTACTGTTGCCAAGTAGTGCAGTATGAAGCTAGACTAAGTGTATGTTATTAAAGAAATTGATTATATACTATGAAACAGATCAAGTAGTTCTTGTTATCTTCTATGTTTTACTGTTTAGCCATATGCTAAAATAAAAACTAATTGGAGTTAATTGTGTCTGGAAAAAATCGGAATTTGTGAGAATAGTGACCTATACTTATCTGGTAAATTAAGTACTGGTAAAACCAATGAAATAATTATAATTGATATCAAAGCTCAAAAAACACTCCGCTTCTCTTTCGGAACTAATAATCGCATATCTTGAGTTTCAGACCTTAAGAATATTAGTTAAAATAGAAACCGATTACTGCAAAAAGTTCACATTCATTTTCTTTTAAATATTATAACTCGTTTATCCGTGTACTCTTATATCCCATTTCAATCATTTTAATTGTCTGTACAAAATTGGATTGAATAGAAGCTGTTACTCTTATACGAGCATCTAATTTTTGTTTGTCCTCAGGTTTGTACCAGTTACTATTTGTTGCCATTTTTTCTAAACTACTTTACTTCGAAACAAGCTGTATTCATTACTCAGTGATTTATAGAATGTAACTTTGTCCCAACTCCCAGCTTCGACGTGAGAAAGAGCGACAACTGGAACAGCAAGAAAACGAGGATCTCGAATTGGCTTTAGCCTTAAGTGCTAGCGAAGCAGAGTCGAATCAGAGGAATGTAAGTCCGTATATTATATTTTGCTTTATTTCCTTCCTCACTATATTTGGTATTTAATGAGTAATCCGGATGAAATAAAAACTGTTATAGACATTTCATTTCTCTCCGCGATTATGTGTGGTAGTTAAAACGGTTCACTTCATTAAATTGTTTTTACAATCCTAACCTTGGTTCAATGAGTCCTACAGTATTTATTCTCTGACTACGACGTAATCATTTGTTTTATTTCAAATTAACTTATTTTTAACAAGCAAATTTTTATTTGTTTGTTCCGTTTGATTATTTCGCCTGATAATTATTAGAATTTTGAAGTGTTTGAAAGCTCAGTAGTGATGTAATCTATAGACCTGGTTTCAAGTCGTAAGTAATGTTGATGACCACATTAATAATAATCTCTGTTATGACTCTGGGCTTTCATCGAGCGAATATGAAATGAAAGTTATATAATTCGTGTCATTAGCCTGAAATATTTCCATTCTGATAATATAATTTGTATATTTTAAAACCATTGGCCTGGTGTAACGATGCGATTAAAATATTTGGTGAAAATTAACTTATTGTACGGATTTAATTTGTTAAACACACACAGTATCAGGTTTATGATTTAATGTGCAACTCTCAACAACTTAACCAGCTAGAACAGTTGCTCTTGGAGATTAGTTCTTGCAAAAATACTGTTCATGAGCATGTAATATGAGTGTTAGAAACAAGTTCGTCAATGTGTGAATCCTCTGATTTGAAACGATAGAGCTTCTATCACTTCAAATATATCATTAATTGCATCTCATGTGAAGGTATCCAATCAACTTCGACAAATTTTTCCAATCTCATTCAATGAAACATGTGGTATGTTGGGATCTGTTTAAATCGCCACACTGAATTATGTATATTAAGAACGGAAATTCTATTTTGTCAATATTAAATTTTTCTATATCATTTGTAATAAAGAATCAAATAAAGTCTACTATCAACGACAATAAACCTTCACCATCATCAGCATCGCCAACAGTCGCTCACCTTCTCCCAGTTCTCGATACAAGTGAAATGGATCCTGAGTTAGCGCAATATTTATCTAAACATTATCAGAGAGCTAATCCATCATCTACTCAGGATGGCATATATCAAGAAAATTCTCAAGAACATCTCATGCTTCAACAGTCTACCACTCAGCCTAGCGCACCTATATATGCTTCCAGTACACCATCAGATAATGGTACGATTTCTATTAACACTCTCAAGTCCGGAGTGAATAGTGATTTTAATGTACCAGGGAAAAGTCGATCCAGTGAGATAGTAAGTTTATTTTTAGAAAATGTACTCAGTTCATTAACTTAATAAACATACAAAAGAAAATACAAGTCCTAATAACATTTATTCTTTTTTCTACAACTTCGTAAGTCACTACAATTTCTCGTTCACCGTTTAAGCAACACTAAAGTTAGTTTGTAGCTTTACGTACTACTAGATATACTACCTTTCACGTTGTGAAAAACCGAGAAGTGGCAACTACCCCCAAACCTCTAACAGCACCCAGGATCATCTTGTTCATGATCAAATCTCTCTCTTACCTCTTAATATTTCTCTCCCCCCACAACTAAACCTCATTATGTATCTTTATCATCATGAACCACCAATGCTAACTATTCAAGTCCACTCAATGCCATTCTTAGTCTCTTGAAACCGCGCTCTATACTACATGTTGGAGCTTTGAATATTCGAATCCAGTGTCAGATAGAACAACTGGTTTCCTTAGCTTAGACTCCAGAATTCCACGTTATCAATGTATGTTTTCTGCAAGACGTGCATACAGAGTCCAAGTATGGTCGTTCACTTTACATCATCTAGTCAATGTCAAGAACCAACTCGATTTACTTTCCGTGTACCTGGAGACCCCGCTGCTACTGCCCATCGCCTCGCTTTTGTAGGTATAGCATTAAATTCAAAAGCAGAACGGATTCTGTTAGTTTGAATTCAAATAGACAGTCGCTTGTGCCCTGTCCCACTAAAAGGGACAATAGAAAATGGAGAAGATAGGGACACAAGCCGTTCCCTCTTCATCGTCTCTGCCCACATACCTACTGGTTGCAGTTTGGATCAAATAAAAGATGAATTTTATAAAAAGCTTTCCACCCTCTTTTAAAAAGCTAATGACTGATGTTTAGTGTTAGCGACAAGTGATTTTAATACCTAAGTAGGTAGACTAAACAAAACTGAGAGGCCATTATGTAAATCTTACTGTGTCGCGCTTCAGCAAACAGATAATGACAATAGTCTTCTGCAACTACGCTCAGATAACTGTTTATTTCTAACAAGCACCATAAGAACAAACGTCGTCCGACGAGAAGACATCCACAGTCGAATCAACCATGGGCTCAAATAGATCACATAGTCACTAACCATTGTTGAAGAGGTTCGATAAAAGACTGGCACTCATTCTAGAACACATGTTTGGACTCAGTATGAGCATGTATTGGTCTGCGTTTTACTAGATGCAGGAACGTTCAACTTATTGATTAAAAAGTCAAATATATTTCAGGAACAACTAGAGAAGTAGTTAGTCAATCAGGCAAGGTATAGCCACCCCGATGTAACTTGATATGATATCTAAACAACAGTGCTATCTGCTGGTAATGTAAATCTAAAGCTTAAAAAATAAGTAGGTTTCTGTAGCGTCTATTAAACAGATAGATACTCGGAAACACCCCATCTGGCTCCGAATACGATGAAGAGGAAGTTCAAAAGCAGACTGGTAGAAATCTTACTCAATGAACGTGAGTAGTGTTGGACGGCGAAAGCAAAAGGGACAGCAGTGGGAGAGGTAATAGGTAACAGTATACAACTATTCAGACTTATCAAGGAGACAGGTATTAAAAATCCGGCTGTTAGTGAGACTATTTCGGAAAAAGGCAGGGCTATTATTCGCCCTCAGTCCAGGAAACGTCCGATAGCGAACATTTAACTGACCCTCAACCAACCTTGATATAATTTTCGACGTCCGACAATAGTTGTATTTCTTGACCTAAAGGTGGCGTTCGACTCCATTGATCTTAAGGGTCTATGACAGTCTATCATTGAAGGACGTATCAAAGAAGTACATCAGTCTTTTACAAACTCTATGTTCAAACACCAGTGGTTGAGTCAGAGCTTAAGGTGAATTGTCATTGGAATTGTACTATCTCCCCATTTTTATTAGACTTTGTCATATACATGCTTTCAGGGATAACAGTTTCATCGACGGAATTTTCAGGGATCGGTCTTTTGTTAGGATATGCACTTGTTGATTGTTATATTTTACTGTAGTTAGTTGAAGGTTAATTAACTGATTCAAACTATCTGTTTCAGAATCCAGCTAATCCTAACGGTAAGACAGACCTCAACTCATCGGAAATCCCAGATCTAACTAATCCAAAACAAGAAGAGTTCCTTGATGCTCTACGTGGTAGTATCGAATTTTTCGTAAATCGTCTGCAGAGCAATAGTCAAAGAGGACGTAATATTTCAAGTGACACAACAGTCCAAACATTATTTTTGACACTAAATAAAATGCATCCACAATTAATGGACTACAAACACTACATGGAGGAACGCCGAGGTGAATGTTTTAATATGTTCAGGTTTTTCATTTGTGTTTGGTAACCTATCGTAATAGATATTATATTTGTAACCGGAATTAGTTTACAAATAACTACATAATTAGTATTATTTATTATTTTAACACAAAGATTGGTACAAAAGGTAACCAAAATATATATGCCCCATACAAATAATTGAATTAATTGTATAGACTGGGATACTGTTCTGGTGGACAAAATGAAGGAGGTGGTCTTCTCATAGCGCCACTCCCCGAATTTTTAACCCAGGGGTTTAATCGACCAGATAGTGAAGCAACGTTAGGAGATGCGATTCCATGGCAGCCAGTGACCAAGGATAGGTTCCTACTCCGTTTGTTCCCTTAGTATCCTGGAGCCCATATGCGCTATTGGTTTGGAATCAGGGTTTTCCAACTCCCCTAGGTTAATCATCTGTATCCAGCAACTCGGTTTTAGCGACGGACATTTGCTTCTCGTCCTCTCGATGTCGTAAACAACACTGCCGCGAGAAGGCAATGAATAGGATTTCCCTGGAAATGACTATATGAGAACAGTTCGAAAGATAAAGCGGGTTCTCCTCAACTTCGGCTGTACTAGGGTATTTGAGGGCATATAATAATTGGCGAAGATATTAACACAATCACTTAAAAACATTTTAGGATCAGATGGATGTAATTATAGACCGAAGTCACTACATTTCTGACCACCACAGATTATTAACGTCAGTCGGGATAAATATAATATTAATGACAGCAAAAAGTGAATATAGTAGTTTTAGTTGAAACGCATTAATAAAACTAAAGATGTAGGGGAGCATAACATTAGGGCGGCCTGCTTGAGCATCTGGGCTACCTGTTCCTGCCATCTAGATATTTCAACAAGTTATCTATTTTTGTTTGTTCTAATATATCATTATGTTTATTAATCGCATAACCTATTCTGCTGCGTTTCTGAAAAGCGTACAACCTTTCGTTGTCAAAGTTACAGAAAACTCAATAAGAGACAATATGGTTGCTGGCAATGTACAACGAAAAGAATGTACATTATTCAGTTGTTCATTCACTGAAGTGCTAACATCTAACTGGCGTTTCCTCAATATTTATCGCCAGGACCGACCAAGAAAAAAGAAACGGAAACTTGTTGAAATACTTTGAGCTGAGAATTCTATATTGTACCAAAATTATAATATTGAATAAAGCTAATAATAATAATAAATAAAAAATTACTCAGAGATCTACCATAAGTAAACAATACTTCAAAAGAAAGTCTGTTACCAAGTACTTGCAGTTTGCGCATATTTTCTACGTTCGAGACCATGTTACCTATCTGTGAAATGATGTAGTTTAAACTGATACGTAGTATACTCAACACTTCGAAATGGATGGGACTTACACCGGTGACACAAGTCACCAAAATCTAAACAAAATCATTGAAACCCTATTTCACTTGTGTTAGCTAGGAATTCATTTGGATTAGTGAGAGTTCGAAGATAAATGAAACAATCAACTTACTAGCCTAATTCACTTCCTGTAGTGGCACATGTCATTTACACAAATCAGTTCCGACAAAAAGAACATACTAGTTTCCATTAGATTTCTTTGATAACATACTGAAGTTAATAAAATGTCATTATGGATCATCCAGTCAATCCTTTATCATACAACATTTACTTTATACAAAAATGATTTTTTTTATAAACACACAACAGCTTTTATTTTTAGCCTATTTTGAGAAGATGCAAGACAAACTTAACCAAATTCGTGAAGCTCGTGAGGCTTTGGATGCATTAAGACATGATCACGCTGTTCGCAAACAAATAGAAGAGCAAGAAGCTGCTCGTATGCGTCAGTTGCAGATAATGCAGAAATTGGAAGCTATGCGACAACAGAAAAGAGTAGGTTTTACATGTTTACATATCGTGTCATTGTACAACTACCAAAATGTTTTTCCCAGGAATTAATCTGACTATGAAAGGTTAACATTTTCTAAATAATTAACATATATCATATAAAATAGTAAGACAGTAATATCATGTCTCTTTAAGATTATAGTTCTGTGGAGTGAGCTCTCCTTTTTGTTGGTCATGTCTACTAACATTCAGTCAACCTCGGGAATATCAATTCATAGGTAATAGCTAAAGTCGTTGTTACAACTCGGTATATGACAATTAACAATAAATTTAACGAAATCCTGTCGCACTAATGGCTCCATTCTTAATCAGTTCTGCTTAGTAACAAATACCAGAAAAAAGCTTTTAAACACACAGATATATACCAGTCAAGATTTCGATCTTCAGAAATTTACACACATAATTACTTACCTATTAAATGAACTAGCTGCATTCTTATAATTTGTGTAGCTTGGTTGGGGTCCAATACAAAGAAACGAGGAATTATTGTTATACGACGGTGTATCTGGTGCGACTAAATAGATCGAATGGCTAACACATGGTACTCCAACGATAATAGCTTCACACGAGTAAAAAACGAGCTTTTTGCCTTGAGCAAAGACAGTAAAACGAGTAACACCATAGTATGTATAGTATTATACATGTTTTTGCAATCAGTAGTAATCTATGTGAACCATGTACCATTTTCACGTCGCAAGATTCACAATATTAGTTGTTGCGCCATCACTAACTGCTTATAATAATACTGACTTGCATCAACCATATCCATACCTTCATCGGCTTAGAATTTCAGCGACAGCCTCTAAAAAATATGCACTTTGTTGATCTGTCAACTCTTAAACTTGTTCAGCTTAATGGAAACTGTAACATCTAGTAACAAGCATGAAGTGGTGTTTGCTGTATCTACTTATTCTCTGATTTACATTGGATATGCTTCTAATTTAGCGTTGTACTTTTAATATCGATTAGAATAGACTGCTACCAGAATGTGTTTTTTTAGAAATCTTTAAGAAAATCAATCTCCTTAAAATTTTGTAAAAATCCTGAAATGATGTACTTGAAGCAGATCGCTGTGATTTTGCACTTCTACAGTGTCACTATATTCCGTAATATACGAATCTTCTAACCATTACTTATATAACGAGATCTTTTCTGGTAGTCAACAAACGATCTGCTCAATTACCAGAAAGTTTAGTTGATATTCATAGTCTTTCTTCACACTCGCTTTTAACTGCATCTTGTTCTTTTCATGATTTTTTAATTAAAGCCTCTTAAATATTAAAATTTTCACATAGGACACTTTGGAGTACAAATTACGTATGACACTAAAACAAAATATGCAGTACCAACAAGAATACGGAATACCACAACAACCCTTACCGTACGGCGTCGATTCATTTTCTAGTGTACAAACTGTTGCACCTGGAGAAGGTTACCCAACTAATTATACTTTGCCTTATATATCTGGAATTAATTACGCATCATTTCCACCTGTTCCGAACGGTTACCTACCAAGAGACAATAGGGTTTATGCCACACAATTTCCAGATCCGAATTCACTTGTCCCCACTCAAAGTGGTGCTAGTAGACCTAGTTATAACATGTCATACACACCACAATTTCATTCATATGTTCCCGACCCAGTTGGCCATAATATCCAAACACATCCTTCGTTTTCTCAAGGAAACCAAAATCCAGTTCCACCTGGCTCATTTTCGATGCAAAGTACGTACCTTCTACATATCCGTTCATAAATGTATTGTAACAATTGATATATACATATGTATATTTCCTCACATAAGATTGATATACTAAATAGTACAGAGTATATCTCGTTGATAATCGGTTCGGATGTTTAGTTAATTTATTTTAGCTCCATTGCTCCCGTATCACTTCATAATTTATGCATGCAATCGCATGTTATGCGTATATGGACAACAGATATCGTGATGATTCTATAGTCACTTCAGAATATAAGTTCAGCGGAGTCCACTTTGCGACTAATATATTTCCACCGTATGAGGTTTTGCTCTGACGCGTGCTTCTGATTTCTAGGGTATTGGATAATGATATTTATTAGAAATGGTAATTAAACTTTATTCAACCCACAATAAATAATTATGATCACATTTATTTTTCGAGATACTTATAGGGCTCAGCAAATCCTCATCTGGGATACAAGGACAATTTTTGATTGCTCCACTTGCAATCAAGTTGTCCATCAAGGAGTTTCAGTCAATTAAGTTTATTTATTTGAACACAAATATTGATACAAGGGGGCACCAGATACATATGCGCCACACAATAATAATGAGAATGGGAAGAGATAAAGAATGTAAGATGCGTATGAAAAAAAGAATAATAACGACCGCAAATTAGTGTATGGTAGTGGAATAATAATAAGGGAAACAGAAAGGTACAACCAGAAAGAATCCTTTCAGTTAAAGAAGTTACGGTCCCTTTTTCTGAAGAAAATAAAAGGTTACAGCAGGGTTGCCACTAGCTTCTATTCTGAGCCATGTCTGGTAACGTCTCTAGCCACTGCGTTGCACCATCTCTAGGACCCCAACCAGGGAGTCGTGAAGGACCAATAGAAGTCAGTCTTGTGCAGCTTTCTTTCATATCACGACACCATGTCATACACTGACCACCTCCGCTCTTTCCAACCAGTCCCAGCGTCGACGAATAATGCACGACGAGGAATTCTCTGGGATGACATTTGTAGAATATGTCCCCCGAAGTCGATGTTTCAAGATAGTGACACCAATTGAATTATCGTCTCTGCGCTCGAACACACGATCTCGAGTCACTGCCTGTTCGAAAGTTGAATACTTTCACCAAGTACGAATACTGAAACAGTTTCTGAAATTCGGTTTATACTGTATCAAAGACACTAACATCGAAATATCCGTAAAGGCTGCCTTATTGAGTTGTCGATGTTTTATTAGAATGCCTTATCTTCCTCCTTTCTAACAGCATTTATAATTTCACACACAAGAACTATTCTCCTGATTAATCTTCTTTAATGAAGCTAACCACTCCTCTAGTTAAGATTTGACTACTACATGTAGGTTGGTTATACTTAACCCAACTCAGCTTCATCTAATTGGAATCTCTTCATTTTCTGCCTAGGTATACAGGCATCTTTGCCGACTTATACAGGACAGGATGATTCAAAAGGTTACCCTGGGAATCAAACTTATCCATCTAGCCAACTTGTCATGGACGAAAACAATGTACCCAGGTACACACAGGTTGTGACCCATCCAAGTGATGCACCTAACAATTATACTGAGTCGGGTGCTGCAGAGGCACAGTTGATATCTTTCGATTAAACGAATTTGACTTTTTTTTTATTTTATGAAGCGAATCATTCATGATATTTTCCCTGTAATTAAATATTGTTGATGTCAGCTAGTCATTATTAGTTTGGTCATTTTCGTTTTTTTTCATTTCCGACGCTTATGTTGCAAGCAAAAAATTCCTGGTTTATTTTTGACTGATAACATTTTTAATAGCTTGATTGAATATGCTCTGTTAACTCACTATTATGTTAATATCTTAATATATGTCAGCCGGGAGTGAATGGTGTGGCCCTAATAAGCAAAAAACGATTGTACCTAAAATATTCATGTTTCGAATGGTTTCATTTCTACAACATAAGATGTTATTGATAACAGTGAGGTTGATTACTCTATCATATTCAATTCGCTTTTCTTTTTAACTGAATAAATCCCATCCAAAAGGTAGTCTTTTTAAATGATCTGGTAATAAACTGTCAATAAAATCTTGTTGAAAAGTATATTCATCCAGGGAAGTAAAATGTGCTTAAAGCCACTGCTAGTTGCCCATATTTTGCAAATAACATTGAGTGACTAATACATTAGAATCAAGCACGAACTCGAGTCTTGTCTACCAACAAATAGGGGATCTGTATTAATCATAAGGTAAATTACAGTTGTATAATTATTACACAAACGGATGTTCATTTACTATTTGCATTTTAAGAATTCTAATGTTACTCATCAAGTTGTTCAGTTGTTACGGGAATAAATGAGCTCACTTCGCATATCAATGCTTGAACGGTGTAATATGCAGAAAACTTTGCATTTGCACATTCTCATTAAAACAAATGCACAAAGTAAGCCTAATAATCCATCGAAATATACTGCATGGAAAAAGTTCTCGATCTCCGCATATACAGGACAAGGTTTTCGCATTATGAATCGTAACGGTCACTTAGCAATAACATCTTTCAAACTGCGGTCATGAAAGGGTTTTTGCTTGGAAAAGCTTGACCTTATACGTTTGTTGACCGGAAAGGTTCTAATCTATTATTTTATAGCCACGACCAGGTCTGAAGCCCGCCTGATTCTCTTGTGTTTGCAGTTCACGAGTCTTAGTTGGGCGTCTGATAATTATTGAGGCCAGTACTTTAGATGCTATATTAGTTAAACTAATCCCTCTATGGTTGTCACAGGATGATTTTGACCCTCTCTCATATATTGGGACTATAAGTGATTGTGGCCAGTCAGATGGAATAACGTCTAACTGCCATATCTTAGCTCAAATATTAGTCAACCTAATCGCTTAAATTGGACCACCATCCTTAAAGACCTCTGGAGCCAATCCATCTGGACCAGCTGCCCTTCCTCGTTTCAGATTAACTATAGCCTTTTGAACTTTTGCTAGAGTCGCGGGACCTACTTCAATGTTCCATTTACACTGTCTGGGGATGGAGGGTAGTTGTAGAGTAGCTGTAGGCCAGCTGAACTGTTCTCTGAAATGTTTCGCCAATCGTTCTAAACGTCTGAACTGAGAGATGAGGGTGTCGTCTTGACTTATTAATTCCAGTTTCTTTTATTAGTCTGTCTTGTGTTAGGAATAAACTTAGTAGAAATCCATTATTTTTTCGTAACCCTTTGGTTTAAATCATTAATATAGATATCACTGTTGTTTCCACAACTGTTCGTATATCATTCCAAGCAACATCTGGATCAGCCTCGTTTTCAGTAATGACTAATTGTGACCTCAGTTGTTCCTGGGATCTACTTTTGGCTTCCTCGTCACTGAGTTCGACTCTAGTGGGCCTTCCTAATGTGGTTTTCCTGCGTCCAGAGAGGCGCAAGAAAACGCGTGCCCGTATTACATCATGATCGGAGTCCAGGCAGGTATCCCAGAACGAGTGGCAGTCTCCTATCGACCCTCTCCAACGATGACTGGTGGCAATATGGTCTGTCGTTGGTTTGGTGCGGGCGGTCGCCATGTTAAACTATGTCTCTCTATATGCTTAAAATTAGTACTTGCCAAAAATAAACGATTGCCTGGGCATAGTTGCAACAGGCGATCACCATTATCTGTTCACTGAGCCGGAATACCAAAATACCCACTTAAATGTCTTTCTGATTGGTTTAAACTGACTATCTGGGAATTAACGTCACCTGCTACGAGTACTATGACTGAACGTTTAGCTTTCTGAAGAAGTTCAGAAAGCTTTCTGTAAAAATGATCTTTCACTTCATTCGGTTTGCAGTCAATGGGAGCGTAGGCAGAAACGACGAACATGCGACGACGTGTGTCCCTATCCTTCCGAAATCTTACGGAGCCGAACAGCACTTGGCGACTGTTAACGGGAATCCATTCTAATAGTGCTTGTTCTGCCCTCGTATTCAGTGCTATATCTACACCTGCCAGTACACGAGAACTAGCCATTGGGTTGCCAGATACACGGAGGGTCTATCTCGTCGGCTCCTCGTTTCGGAGAGGTGGGTCAAGTGAATGAGCATACTAGGATCATGTATGCGTGTTTCGGAGACACAGCATACCTCAATGGTACGAGATTCTAAGGTTTCAGCCGAAGTCTGCTGGCCAACTTGACATAGGGTGCGTACGTTAGTCTCCATCACGTAGTTTGGAAAGAGGTTTCATTAGACCTGCGACAGTGTTTCGCGCAATAGGATCGTTGGTCATGATGACACTTGAAAAGAAAGCCAAAATAGGAAGTTAGTGGTTGAAAGTCGATGTAGGAAGAATAATAGGAATTGAAGATAGAGGTTGATTATGAATACAGTGGTCTTGAGTGCTGTTAGAGGTATGAGGGCGGTTATCACTTCCCGGTTGCCCACACCGAGGAAGGGTTCTTCTGGAGGTGCCTGAAAAGGAAATCGGATTAGAGGTGGTCATAGTGACCTGAGAGCGAGACCGCAGTGCCCAAGGGACAACTGCTTGAGGCCGGTCACACCCGACCTCTTTGTGAGTAATCTCCGTGTTAATTCCGTACTTATTCGAACCTTACCAGTGGAGACGGAAATCCGTGGAATAAGGAGAGGTGTTCATTTTTAGGGTCGACCTTTTCCAACCCCGCCCTTTCTTTGTGGGAAGGCAGCATCGCTGTCATACTGGTTGTCTGAAGGAAACACCTCACTGCCGTCACACCTGTACAGTCAGCAGTACGAATTCGCCCTCGGTCAGTCAGTAACAACGTAGAACTTCGTACGTACGTACAGAGATGCAGTTGTCGATTCAAATCCCGTAGTGGTAGAAGTAGCAAGAGTATAAGCAGTAATCGGGAAGATTAGGGTTTTGAGATGTTATTTAAAGAGTATAATCCAGTGAAATAAATTTGGAAAGATGAAAAAAGGGACATGGAGAATTCAGAAGATTAGAATTGGGGAGAACACAAAGAGTGGATGCACCTGCGCCATTGCAAACGATTTTGAGCCATGTCATTCAGGGTCTCTAACCATCGATTGCTTTCATCTCGCGGTCCCCAACCAGGTAGTCTACACCTACCAACATGACTCAGTTCACTTGTCAGTGACTTCATGGCCTTGTGCCATGTTTTGGTCTGGCCGCCTCTAGCTTTCTTCCAACCTACTCCTATACCACTGAACATAGCACGTCGAGGCAGTCGGTCGTTGGGCATACGTAACACGTGTCCCAGCCATCTCAACTGATGAAGTTTCACTACGTCATCAATTGATTTGCCATCCTTACCTAGTACCCGTTTCCTAACAACTGTGTTACTTACTCGATGGTCCCATGATATACGAGCAATGTTTCGAAGACACCTATGATCGAATACTAGTAACCTACGGATATCCTCTACTCTTACCGGCCATGTTTCACTGCCATAAAGTAGGACGGAACGAACTGCTGCGCAGTAAACACGTCCTTTGGTTGATAGACGGATATCTCGCCTACGCCATAAATGACGCAAGTTGGCAAAAGCTAGTCGAGCCTTCTGTATCCGTGCTGAGATTTCGTCACACACCAGACCACAAGGGCTGATGAGACTTCCAAGATAAGTGAAGCGGTCGACACACTCAACTACTTCACTCCCTATCACTAGTTCGGGTGTCGATGTAACCCAATCCTGAAGCAACATTTTGCATTTCGAGGGAGAGAATCGCATCCCGAACATGCTTGCATTGTTGCTTAGAGTGGTCAGAAGACTCTGCATTTTGTCAGCGTCTTCACCAAATAGAACTATGTCATCAGCATATTCTAAGTCAACAAGTGAACCTCCTGGTAGAAGTTCAACCCCTGGAAATTTAGATGAGGAGAGTGTTATCTCTAAAAGTA